AGCAACAGTCTTTGGTGGTTACCATCCCTTCTGATAAAATTGAAGGCCCTGAAAAGACATAGTAGCCATAGGCTGGTGGCAAACACCCTCTGTAGACAGAGCAGCATGCATGACAAGGACCCTGCAAGTCTCTCCCCTCAGTGTCATCAGTGCCCTCCAGCTTTGAGCTAACCTGTGAAGATGCAGCCCCCTACTTTTCCCAGCCCCTGGGAAGGTTGTTGGACATCACCAGTCACAGTGATGGACCTCTGTGGTGGAGAGTTTCTCTGTGGGTAGCTGATAACCTGAACATAACTGAGCTCCTATTGCTTGATAACAATTTTCAGTGGCAGCAACGACCAAACCTGGTGACCCAGCACTGAGACTCCCTATTCTATTACCAGGCCCCTGAGCCACTCTCTTCCCCCCACATACTTTCAACATATTTAACATGTTACAGCTGTGCTCACTGCTATACAATAGTTAAGAGGGCTGCCAGCGTTTCCAGTATGAACTCGTATTTTAAGGATAATAACTCAGCTGTAAAAATGTGCTCTAGGCTGAAACTTTATAAGGAAGATTTCTGCCCAAGAGTGACTTTATCTGGACAGAAAACAAAAGGGAAAATATATCAATTTAGTCATTCTTAATCAGTAAAGATATATTAAAAAGAAAGTAGAGTAATCCTTGCTGGATCGCTTACTTTCTCTTCCTTCTAGCTTAATAATAGCCAAAATCTTCATCTTTCTGAACCTTCCATGTCTAATTCTTAGACTAGTTGAACCATTTTCACACTGAATATTTACTTGGTTGCTTTGAAATTGCTTTTCCTCAATATTTTCATTTGCTTGCAGAAGACAATGGAGTGTGTAGCAAAGTAGACTCAGGTTAGCCATTTTCTCTTATTTATTTCAAATCTGCTCAGCGTGAATCAAGAGTTAAAATGTATCCTTTTCTTGATCAATTTGGATTGATGTGTGTAATTGGAACCACCTGCTCTCTTTTGGGCTTGATGCCCCAAGATGTACCCCCCAGTCTGAACACTAATGGACTTGGGAAAGTTCATCCCAGAACCCTGATAACAGACCAGCTCCTGAGTCCTCTATATATCACACAGAATTTAAACACTTTGAAGTCTTTGGTAGAAGGGAGACTTATAAATGTTAAGTGTTTAACACACAGACTAGTGTCACTGGAAGTACCTTAAAGTAAACAAGAACTTAAAATATCCAAATTTTAGTTAAAAAAATCTGTTTAGCCTCTCTAAACTCCATTTTTTTCTGACTGATGACACATATCTGAGGGTTTGAATATGATTTAATCAATATGACTTGTGCCTTCATGGATTTAGATGTGGTTACCTTTGAAGGACATGCTCTGTGTGCTTGCTGCCATCAGCTTTACTGGCATCTTGAGGTCTCAGGCATCCAGGAGAAAAGTTTTAGGTGGCAACACTTCTGCAGCCCCAGTTTGTCCAGATTGTGCCTATAGTCTCAGTTTTCCAAAACAGTGTACAAACTGCAATGCTGTCGTTGGAAGCATCATCCAAAGTGGGCTGGATTGTCCAGAAGCAGCAAAAGCCAGGTGTTGGTGGCATTCTGCTTGTAGAGAGTCCAAGGAGTAACTGGTCTGGAGTTTTTACAGTCAGAAAAATCACGCTTAAAATTTGTAAAGGCACAAGTGAGGCATAATCTTGTGTTACTTTTAATGATGGAATATAAGGAAAGAAGGCACTGATGGAATTATGTGCCTCAGTCTTAGACTTGAGGTCTGTCACAAAGCTGGCACTGGCAGGCAGCCAATTTTAACCAGTTGAAGGACAAATCCCAATACAGAATGGAGTGGATTCCAGGCACAGCCTCCCCTAAGGAGCTACAAGTCTAGAAAATGAAATGCAATTTGGGATCTGAGCCAGGACACCCAGGCTGTGAAAATTTGGGGTTTAAATGAGAGGAAGGGCAGGCTGGAATAGTTCTCTTTCCATTACTGTGTGGGAAAGGGCTTTGTTTAACATTACAGGTTACGAATCTAACAGAACATGACAGAGAAAGAGATTTCTGTATTTGTCCTCTAATAAGGGCACATTTTTAGTTTTAAAGTTTGGTATGAATCACTGTGATCTAGAACTGAATTGATACATAACATGAACAGTGGCTTAGTACAAGATTTCCCAGTCTATCATCTTCAAGTCTAAAGTCTATTATTGAACAGAAGCATATCTTTAGAAAAGCATCCTTACTCACCCAGGGTTTCATTTCTAGCATCTTCTGCTATTTGTCTTTCCTAATAGGTAAGATAAGAAGGATTCCTGTGAAGATTATGTGTGTATTACTGGTCCTCATCAGCTTTCCAGAACTTCTAAATTTGAAAAATGGTATGGGAGGGAAAGGACATAATTTTTAGGCCCTTGATATCTTTAATCTTCTTTTGTGCAGGAGCTGCCAACAAGGAGTTGAGGCACAGGCAGCAGATGGCAGTGCGCCATAGTGCATCCTCATGGAGGATGGACATTCTGTTTGTAGCTAAGTTCAGGAATGATACAGCAACATTAACCTCAGCATTTCAAGGTGGCTTTCTACCCATCCCATGCAGCTGTGTACCTGGATTACGTGGTAGCCCTTACATCACCATGGGTCTGAGAGTGCAACCTAGATTTGGGCCTAGCCTAGGAGTTAGCTCTGATGTTGAAGAGTTACCTTTGGCTTGTCATTGGAAGGGCTGACACGAAATCCAAGAGCAGCTGTGTGAAGCTACCTTATTTGTATTGTCCATTACTAATAAATTCTAGTTTACAAGAGCCTTTCTGACCTCAGAGTTGCAGGGAAACATCCTGACACTAACCATTCCTTGACCATTGTTCCCATTGTCCTCTCAAGTATTTGGGATCTCACAGAGGAGCACTCTGCTGTCTGCCACCCTAGCACCTCAGTATGTCTCCTTGGAACTTCATTCAGTGATACCACCTCAATTTTTTGAAAGCTGAAGGTATTTCAGATATTTCCATCTAAGTCTGGTTGTGTCAAGTCCTTGTAGTGTTGTGGAGTTAACACCACGCACAGCCATACAATTTTCTTCATTCTGTAGAAATGTTGTGTCATTTTTGTCATGTTACCTCTAACATGACCTTAATACATAGGTTTATATCACCAGCCTGCTTTTCCATTTGGTTTTGGTTTGCTTTTTTCTTTTGTTGATAGCCAGTTACTCATAATTTCAGATGTCTCCCAGTGTCAGCGTTTGTCCTTCTAATGAGTGAATCTTTTCATCCAGCTCAGCTGTTAGATTACAGCTCACACAGTGCAAGTCCCTCCAGGTTTTGGGCAGGAAACAAAACACAGCACATCTGTTACAGATCACAGCTGCTGCCCTGTCACTGGCCATTGCAGTGTCAAGGTTAGAAGTGCACATAGAAGAAATGTCACTGGTGTTTCCTCCCCAAATCCAGTTAAGCAGTCTCTGTGCCTGGCAAATGACCTAGGCACTGAATCTTGCCATGAAAGCAGAGAACAGCCCGGTGTGTCAGACACTGGGTCACATCTGTTGTCGTGCCTCTATGGAGCACACAGACAGGTGAGACTGCCTCACCTTCCATGGAAAACTTGAGGCCCAGGGAGAAACAAGTTCCCACTACATTAAACACATCTTATATGCTCTCATGTCACCAACCTTCTCTTTACTTCTACATAAAAGCACAAACCTCTGGAGGAAAAACTTCCTGACAAGTATTTTCTTTATTTAAGGAGCATGTTTGCCTGAGTAAAATAGAACTAGTAAGCATTTTCAGCCAATAACAGAAGTTTGTACTCATTGCTCATTAAATGTTGCTCATGAGCAAGTTTAAAAACCACTCAGTGTTGCTTTTAGATTTTTTTGCCGTAATAAATCCTGCATTGAGAGTTTCAAACATTAAAGAAAACCTATCCACATACTGAAAAAATGTTGTGGCCAGAGTGGGTGTAATAGAATTGGCAATACAATTTGTCTTCCCATGTGTAATTTTGTGTGTGTATATATATGTATATGTAAAATCAAACAATTGAGGATACAAATATGACATCCTTTTTGAAAGTTTTATTTGAACCCACTAAGACAAGGAAGTGAAAATTTAAGCTAAAGACTGGTGCTGGCTTGTATTTTAATCGTACAGTTTGATAACAACCATTTATCACCTTGTTAGAACTAGGATGTGCCATTAAGTGAATTTCCACACTGATTATAAGCAAGAAGGGAGGGAATACAACAGAACTGTTTGAGGGGAAGTATTATTTGGATTTAACTTTAATAGAAGAAATTCCATTCTGATGCTAAGAAAAACCAGTCCACAGAAAAGAGAGTCCTGATTTCCATTTACTAGGATGGCATGTCAGCTGCTGGGAGACAGTGGAGGAAGGAAGGATTTAATCCACATCAGAATATGTAAGAATATAAACAGAATGGAATTGCTTGTTTTGACATGGATTGAAATCTTCCTTTTGTGAAAGCTGATAGTGGGAAGGGCAGGAGAAGATTTGATCTGTGTATTACAGTAGTTATGTCCCAGGCAAATTACCACCTTTGAGTTCCTTTTTTGTCTTCCAGGGATGCTAAACCCTGTTTTAGAGTTGTGAGGATTCTTTTGTTTGTGGTGGCTGTTCTTGACATAACAAAAGCACTGATACGTGGAGTGGCAATATAAAGCCATCATACAGCCAAGTACCTACTCATAAGCTGAAGAGTAGGGAAAAAAGCAAATGAGATTTCTCATTCCCTTCTAGTACTGCCTGATATAATACATTTGTTAACTCATACAATATTGTCTCAGGTATTTCTTTATTTCTGCACACAGTTGCTAATATAAAACTCTTCCTATTGCACCGTCTTTTCCTTATATCTTGATGTTCCCATTTCTACATCCTTTTAATCTGCATTTGTACATGTAGGCTAGTATCTGCACATTATCAAAAGCTGCATTTCAAATTAGGGGACAGGAAATACAAGGCAAGAAGGACAGTGAGAAAGAAATCATCAAAAAAACCCTCGGCTATTGTTGTAAGAAAGGTGAAGCCTACACAAGGGTCACCTTTGTTCTTTATTTACCACACTATATTTGGATTCTTAATCCTTTAAAACCAGTTATTTCTGGGCAGTAACTCTCTTGGAACTATGAACATATACTTTCAGCTGAGGAAAGAAATTCACAAACATACAGCAAAAACATAAGGAAGGGAAAGCAAATATGCCCATTGCTCTCAGGAGGTTCAACTAAGTTACAAAGGTGATGTCACATAAGAATTTGAATTTATGCCCAAGATTCAAAATATTATCATGTGGTTTAGTACTCAGTACTGAAGCAGGGCTCAGAATTGATGAAGGTCCAGATCAGGTATTCCAAAGTTAAAGCTGCTTTAACTTAGTGGAGGGTTTGGGCTTCTTGCTCACTTTACCACATTTTTGGCAACAAGTTAATGAAATGAAATGAAGTCAAATCCTAAGATGTGCAGAGTATACATTTTTAGCTGATGTTTGCTGATCTTCACTATACTCAAGTCATGATTTAATCTCTGATAAACTGGCAAAGGCCACAACAATTGCTACCTTTTCACTGAGAAAACGAAAATAAGTTTTCCTTTGTTTTGGAATATCAAAAATATTCCCAGCAGAGTTGATGACAGAGGACAGAGAGGATTTCAAAACTACCTTTAATCTTCCTGCAACAGTCATAGGAGTTTGGCCCTTACCAACCAGTTTGAAGTAGTTCAGTAGACTCAGTTCTGACAAGGGGACCTGGTTTCTCTTCTTCCTGTAAGAGGCAGCCCAAGGAGATCAGACAAGTCAGACTAGACAGAGAGTAAATCAATCAAAATATGGCCATCATTTGTTCATTGTGCAGAGAGAGTGTACACATGTTGATTTTTTTTCATATTAATTCTTGATAGATGTGTCTTCCTGATAAGTATAAGGAAAGTCATCCTTTCACTCAGTTTAATAAAACCTCAAGAAACAACATGTTCTCGATAACATAAAGGCATTCACTTGGCAGTAGGGTAATAAATTTTCAGATGGAATGGCCTGGTTCTTATACGTCTGCACAAGATATCTGTAAACAAATTTGAAAAGTAAGTTTTCTGCTGTAAAGCTTATTGGCTTTGCATTGGCCAGTATTTACAAAGCAGGATTTGTAAGTATGGTTAACTTGTTGAAACTTCTTAAATAAAGGAAAAGTAAACTCTAAAATAAACAGATGCTTAGTGTAAGCTTTAAAAACTATTTATGCAGCTGGTATTTTCCCCTTAAGTCCAATATCAGTATTAGAACACTGGAATAAAATAGAAGCCTTTAATGCAGTTCATTATTGTAGAAAGCTGTGTCTAACTAATCCATCCTCCCACTGGGCCCTAAGTGCATCTCTCAACTAGTGAACTCTCTATTCCTAAAGCCTCCCAATATACTTTTTTTATCTGATGTCACTTTCCCACTCTTCAACAGATGAAAGGTGGCATGTGTCTTTGCACCAGCATAGACTCGTTCTGCTGATGCCTTTTGATACTGGCAAATACTTAAAGATAATTTACCTCATATAAACTGTATTTGGCGTCCTTCCTGTAATTTGAGTTTGTTGTCATAGAGGGGGTGTGCAGTGTTCATAGTTAATGAAGTCAGGCTTCTCTTTGTCGGTGATAGACTGTATTCTGAAATATATACATTCACTTTCTTATAGGAAAAGTACGTTCATAAAGCTTAAAGCATTCAAAATCAGCAATGTCTTTCAAATAAAGTGAAGAAGAAATCAAATTTGTATGTCAGCTTATCTTAGGTTTATCAAAATGTTGCAAAAAGCATGCATGTTTATATCATTACTCCTTACTATTTTTTCTGTTAATTTCTTTTAAAACCACTCTAACATCAACTCAATTGTATGACAAATCATATGCCGAGAATATCTTGCAAAATTTAAAAGTCATTATGATAACCAGTTTCTTGTGGGGATTTGTGGTGGTTTCACATTGATTGACATTTGGAAAAGAAGTAAGAAAACACCCACAGAAGTGATTTCTTTGAGAGAAGCTGCTGGGAGCTTCCTCTGTGCCTGGGAAAGGCCAATACCTGGCTAGTTCTGAGAAATGACAGCATTTGCACCATTTAGAAATTAGACCCACCTCTGTGAGATCCGCATTTTAAAAACACAAGCCTAGGAACTCTCTCCTTTTTTGTTCCAGCCTCGAAAGGTAATGCAGCTCTGGTGGGGCCAGCCCCACTTCCCCGCGGCCTGTACGGCCTGGGGGAGGCCGGGCCGGACCCCAGCGGCTCCCGGGCAGGGGATGGAGGCTGGGGGAGCCCTGGCTCAGGCTGGGCCGGGCCATGGCTGCTGGCATCTCGCTGACACTAAACCTGCCCTGGCCCAAACCAATGGCCCCAAGCTGAGACCCCGCTCCCAGCAGCTGCCGGACAGAGGGAGGGGCCCAGCGCAGCCTGAAATCCAACACCGTGACTGCTGTGGCACTGGGTGAAAATATTAACACTTTCACTACACAGATGAGACCTGCAGACCTTGTTCCTCTCTCCAGGGAGAGAAAAGGACAGCGTGACAACACGTAGAAAGACAAGGTGAAAACACCAAGGTCAATAAAGAAGGAGTCAAGCCTCAGATGGAAGGAGAATGAGGAGATGCTGAATGGATGAAATATTGAAAAATATTATATTGAAAAAGAAATGAAATATTATTTTTCTCGGGCCATGGAGATGGACAATGATATACTGAAATACCTCTTTTAATTCATAAGAGGGTATGGAGGGGGAATGAAACTGTGAATCTGAACAGAAACATCCATTGATGAAGCCAAGCAGATGCTGGAGTAGCTGTGGTCCCATGAGAGGCTTGAACAGAGAGAGAGATGAAAGTTGATGAAGACTCTTTGCCCCCAGGGAGAGAAGAAGAAAACCTGTGTTCCCAGAGATGATCACAGAGACAGATGGAAAGAACCTTTGCCTTTGAACAACTCATCCTTAAAATAAAACCCAGTGAGTTCATGGCCCATGGACACACCTCCTGGAGGGCTGTGAAAATGGGAGGAATTTCACGATGCAGAACTTTTTTGCCCAGGCAGCTTCTATTTGTGGAAATGAAAGACCAAAACAAAACTGTTTCTTGTGGAGAAGTCTCCATGGCAAAAGAAAACTCCTCTCCCTATGAGAACTGATGAAAGACCATTGTATACTTGGTACTGCTTTAACATCCCACTTTTTGTCTCTACATGGTCAGCTGTGAGAGGAAAAATTTGGGCAGGGAAATGAAAGGTGTTCTGGAGGTTTTATTCTGATGCTTCTTATTCTTGTAGTCCTGTTAATAAAGTTTCTTTATTCCTTTTAAGTTTTAAGCCTGTTTTGCCCTTCTCCTAATCCATATTTCACAACAAGAAATAAGTGCACTGGTGATTTTAGCCAATGCTAAACCCACCACATTATTTGGTGTGTTGGCTGGGAAACTCAAATTGGCGAAGCTAAACCACTACAGAATTACAAAAAGGAGTGTAATCATATGAGGCAATAGGGCAACAGAACAGATCTAAATAATTGACAGGCCAATTATATTTTTGGCAAAGACAGTGACAGAAACCTCATGATAATTTCTTCTACAGGTTTTTTGCAATTGAACTGGGACTTAAGTAATAGTTTACAATGCTAAGATGCCTTCCTATACATATACAAACTCAGTAAAATCAGACATCCAAACAGATGAAGACAAAACAATATGTTTGATATAACCTTTGCCAGTAGCCAACTGGATGTTTATCAGCAATTACATATTAGAGGCTGAAAAGAATCAAATTACTTTCAATATGATGGCAACATCTGATGCAAGACATTTTTGTCTCCTACAGCTAAATAAATCGAATATGAATGGACTTGACAGCATGTATTATGAAATTCATTATGATCTGGAGACTGGGTGTCGCCCTAACAACCAGACGATATTTCCTTAATTAAGTATAATTTCTTTCCGACGTGATCACAAGAAGATTCTGAACTGGTGGATTAATGATCTGGGAAATGCATGTAATTCTCTGCTCTCGGTAACTGTCAGCTTAAAACATGTTAAGCTGTTTTAGGAAAGCTGCAATTCTTGATTTGTTTTCCCAGCTTCTTTTTCTAGCGCATTAAATGGTGTATATTTAGGGACAGGAATATATGTATTTTCAATTTGAAAACTATATGTTTTCCTTCTCAGAGCAATTTTTTTGTCCTTGATTTATTTTCTCTCCAGTCCATATTTTTTTAATAGTTTCTTTGCAATACTTGTCGTATTTACTTATTTGCTGAAAGACATTTGCTCTCAGATTTTTCCATTCTATATCTGGGTGTTGCATTTGTTACACTAAACTGTAAGACTTCCTTCTTCATTTCCAGGTTCCTGAATTTCTACCCAGGAATATTTATCAGTCTGACACATATGTAATTACAGAAAGTTCCTCCAACCATACTTTTGCAATAAGCATCTTTCCAGAGGGTTCTTGAGTATCTCCAGTGGGGGAGACTCCACAACCTCTCTAGTCAACCTGTTCCAGTACAGGATCGCCTGCACAGTAAAGTTCTTCCTCAGGAGCTTCCTATTCATCAGTCTCTACCTGTTGTCTCTTGCCTGATTGCTTGGCAACACTGAGAAGAGCCTGGTTCCATGCTCTTAACACCTTCCCTTCAGATGCATTGATGCCTTCTGATGATCTTCATGGCCCCCCTCTGGACCCTCTCAAACGGGTCCACATTCTTGTTATGCTGGGATCCCCAGAGCTGGACACATCTCTCAAAGTGGGATCTCATGAATGTGGAGAAGAGAGGGAGAATCACCTTCCTTGGCATCACAAGTGGGAGCCAAATTTGTCTGGAAAGCCCTGAAGCAATTCTCCACCTTTTAGCAAAGGAGAACACTGTTTGTAAAGGGAACTAAGAACTGTTTATCAGTTGAGAAATTTAATTTGAGCACACGTGGTTTGATAAAGTAAAAATACTGATCACTCTGAGCATAGAGCTTACAATTTCCTATCATAACCAAAAAGTGCAGTTTAAGTCCAAACTCTAAGACCTCCTCTGGCTGCATGATATCTGAGACCATTGATTTCAAAAACAAAACAAGACCATTATTTTCATTGTATATGGTTCTTCTTCAGACTTTTGCACTGAATCTACTATGCTGGAACTGCTGGATGGGATGAATGGGTGTGTGCCCTGCAGATTTGCTTTTAGTCTCTTTCATCCAAAGGGAACACTTCACTGTGGTAGTTTATTAAATGAATTAATCAATAAATTAATCCATGCAAACCAGTGCAAATTAATATAGCCAGTAAAGTGGCAAAAGTGGCAAGTGTTGCAGGTTTGATACATGCCCACTGATCGGCTTGTTTCCTAAGCATTTATTTGAAATCATGACAGGTAACTCCATGGAGGCAATCGTCCATAATTTTTCAGATTTCTCTAGGGACTCTTGTCAAGAAAAGAAATGTAATCCACTCTGTGACATAAAACAAGTGTGTATTTATTTCACATGCTTGAGGGTATTACAGAAAGGACTGACTAAAATGAGCCTAGCTTCTTACTCCACTGCATGCAAGGAATGAGTTTGCAGGGACTCTGTAGTCCTCCATATAGGATGTGCATATTAAAAATACTGCTGGAAGGTGAGGCAAAATTGAGTTGGTATTTCCCAAGAATTTTGTATTTTTATTTATTTTCATTTACAACTGAAAACTTGGAATCCTTAGCTTCTAATCAGATCCTTGGCAAAAATAGCTCTATGTGAATGTGAGATAGACATGTAAGAACAGGTATATTATGAGTTTTGAAACAAGATTGTTTTACAGGTTGATTAAACAAGTTTGTTTACAGGTGAATTTTTCCAGTATTTTCAAAGGGGGAAAAAAAAAATTTTTTTTTTTAACAAATACATTCATCAACATTGTTCACACTTTGTACCAGATGTAATGTGATTGTGCACATTTTAATAGTTTTTTTTTGATTTTTAATGTTTGTGATGTGTGCACGCAAAGATGCATACAAAGTAATTATCTCATATGAAGAAATGACTGGAAATGCTTTATGTCACTATCTGCAAGAAAAAGAGCAGACCACTCTTTCTGACTGACTTTCTCTAACCAACACAGGAAATAGCATTTTACAACATAGAACTGAAGAGAATCAACACTTCACTAAGTTATGATGTTGTCAACATGGGACCTTGGGGAGTGGGAGAGCAAAAACCAAGGAATATGAATGGCAAAGAAGTTCTCTCCCCAAAGCTCCCCTGACATGTCTTTTGTTTCATTTTTTGGTCAAAGTCTCAGTCTTGCTTTAGTACATATGCTCTTTGTTATTAATGTCTTTGTTTTTCATGCAGAGAAGCAAAATGCTTTTAAACCCAGTGTATGTGTTTTAAATGGATGACACTACCAAACTCACTGTCAATAGCTAGTCTTACTTAATCAGCTATAAAATTTCATGAGTAAGGGTTCTTAACTGAGACTGGAAAAATCCAAGATAATTACCATAATAGGCTGAAGATCTCTGAGACTGAAGGCTTTAGAAGTCAGAGAAAATTGGGGACATATGTGTTCTGTCTGTAAGATTGTTCTATATAGGATATGGAAAAATGGAAATGACAGGCACTTAGCAATGTACAGTAGCATTCATCAGAGAAAGAACATATGCATTTGTTTGTCAGACGCAATGAAGTAAAAAATGACACTTAATTGGAGCTGACATAAAATGGCCTCATTAGCAGTACAAATAATATATGTGTGTAGCTTGGTTGTCAATAGGAACAAAACATATTTCTTCTGACAGATATATTAGTGTCTTTTAAGAGTCATGTCAAGTTTTCAGTCAGGTTTACTCATTTAAAGAATGCCTTGTTTGTTTTTTTTTGTTGTTCTTTTTTTTTAATATGAGAAAGGTTGAACTGTAAATAATGTGTGTTTCTAGGGTGCTGTGATAACACCAACAATGGACCACACTATGTCAATGCAGCCAGCAAGCATGATGGGCCCTCTGACCCAACAGATGAACCACCTTTCCTTGGGCACAACAGGAACGGTAAGATCACTATTTTTTTTTCTCTATTGCAAAAGCATCTTTTGCTTACTGAGTTTCCTAAGGTAATTTACTATTCTTTTAAGTGCTTTTCAGGGCTTCACCATCATACAGTAAGCATTAGTTATTATAAAACAGAAATGACAAAGTAGTATGAATATTAAAATGGTAGGTCAACAAAACCTGATCTGTATTTAAAAGGAATTGTCTGTACTAGTTCTCATGTAATTATGGAAGTACTGCTCTATCAATTTGTTTTTCAAATTGTTTGCTTGTCAGTGTAGAAAGTTTCATATCACTGGGGTCAGGAGCTTTGTGGTAGGATCCACTACTCACTTCAAACCATAGCAGCCAGCCATATGTATTTTGTTCCAGACTTAGATATGTGACTTTTGGTTTAGGCCAGCTGTGTTTCCAGTACATCATATTTGAACATGCATATTTCCACAACTGCTTTTGAATTTTCTTTTTAAGCTGAGTAGGTCATACTCAGTTAACTCCCCCAGAGTCAGAGAAAGGCAAAAACCCCTCTTAATTAAAAACATTTAAGTGCTCTGAAAAGTTCCTAAAATACCGTACCTGCAGACTATATATGGTGGTTTGATATGTGAATGTGTGCACATTGCATGCAATGTAAATTTTTGCAGAAATATAGGCATTCATATTACACATGCTCTTTATGTAATAATTACATTCAACATGTAATTACATGACATGCTCTGTTATTCACTTACCCTTTTTTTCACAACTGTTCTACTTGATACTAATCTATAGGAACACAGTTTTCCATTTTTTTTTTTAATTGAATAAGGTACTTAATTCAGTTGCATCTGTACAAAGTTATTTAACACACTGTGTTGGGTCTCTTCCTGATCTCTTCACCTCCTTCCTTACCTATTGAATTTAATTCTAACTCCAGTGTCTCTTCTGATTTCTTTGAAAAATTCTGTTAAGATCTAAGGTTTCTGTATTTTTTTCTGAGAAAACTTAAATATAATGATTTCTTGTTTATTCCTGATACTTTAAATGTTGCATTCAATAACCAAAAGAAGTAGGAATTACATCGCAAAGTTAGTCTCAGCATTTTCCCCTTCATGAAGTTGAAGGAAATACTTGGTCTATATACAGGAGAATTGCTGCATCTGTAATTACTGAGATTCCGAAACATGTTTAAAAGTTAAGGCAAGGAAATAGAAAATGAATTCTGCTTGTCCTGTTGGGCAGCTCCTAAGAATTTTTTCCTTTGCCTGTCATTTTCAATTTCACAACTCTTAACAGACATTGTCTTCTGTGCTCATTGTCTCACAATCTTAATGCAAACTAGAAAATTCCCAGTTAATGTTCTCTTCTTGCTTGAGACCACTTCTACAGAACTTACAGTAAAGAATCCTTATAGTCAGTCAGGCAAAGGACTCTGAGGCCTTGGATCATCTAGTGGGTGACAATGAGATCCTGAACTCATGTTACTGCAACTAAATGAGAATCTTTCCTTTCTTTTCCTAGCTCTTTACACAGTTTTATCTTTCAAGGTCACAGCATTTCCCAAGAAATAAGAATTTATTGAAATACATTCAGAGGTATACCATACAGGTTTATGTTTACTATCTGTAAAACTCCCAAGTCATTTGCAGAAAACTTAAAGAACAAGAGTAAATGATTGATGAGTGCTACAATACCCATAGGCTTTTGAAACATCTCAAATGACACCCTATTTTATCACATACAGGATTTCTCTTAGATTAAAACAGCATCAGCACCATATTCAGTTTAAGCACTCATGCAAGCAATAGAATCATGAATATCATTGAGAATTCCTCCTGTTGGGATTTCCTCCTAGCAGAAATCACAATTTGGGCTGCAAGTAGCAGTTTTGTTGGATGTATCCATCCAGTTCATACTTCAGCGTGTATTCTGCTACAGGAAAAATAAAACACAACATGGGAAGCACAAGCTGCTTAGAGATGTGATTTATTTAGAGATATTTTTCTTCAATTATTTGAAATTCTGAGTTTTGGTCCAGAGAGAGGAGCCCTGAGAGGATAAAGTATGAAGAATTGTGCCAAATTCAAGCCATACTACTGTGAGTACCTCAGCAGGACTAGGTTTTATGGGAGATAAAAGATATAAATGATACATTTCTGTTATGAATATATTTTTCAATTTTATCCTTAAAACGATGCAACAGAGTGCAATAAAGAGCCACCAGCTACCTTTCAAGAAACCAGACAGATTTTTTTAGGCAAACAAGACAAAAAGTCACAAATAGTTCTACTCACTGTTGGCAGTAACTCTGTCCCAATTTAATTTGAAAGCTTGCAGTATGCAAAGCAGTTTTTATTGGAAGGCTTTCATATGTTCACTTCCTTGGACAAAGCATTTTGCTAATTAACATTACATTTTTCGGCCGAAGCAGACCCCTGTGGTCACTTAAGTGAGAGCTGACTTCAAAACCACCTCCACACTTGCCTGATTCAGGATGAACACTGGGTTTCTAGAACATTGCTTCAACAGAAAATCTATTCTCTAGCGAGTGAGCTAGAGAAATAGCATAAGAGCCTATGCAGCTTCATATCTTGTGGGAATTACTTGGCCTTTTGATGCTCCTTAAAAGATTAAAATACTCTGTCCAAGCTGGAGCCATTCCATCTCCCTTTCACAGAAGAGCACTCTTTAGCTCTTTGGTGAGGCGAGTGACCTGAGTAACAGCAGCCTCTGCCATTTCCTGCCTTGACTCCAAAAACTGGATTTGAGTTTTGATCTCTCAGCCCTGAAGCACACATTAAAACCCTTGGGAATCCAGGGGGCAGCTGCCTCCATCCACTTGATTATTTGGTCACCAGCCCAGGTCGGGCTTAATGCTGGTAGGGCTGTTCACTTCCATCTGGGAGCATCCAATTCAGCAGTTAAAACAAAGTAGTTTTCCTATAGACTCCTTCAGTCAGCTGCATTTCCCTTGTGCTAGGTAAAGTCTTACTCCCAAAAAAAAGTTTGTTTAGGAAACCATTTGACAAGAATAGTGACAAGAAATTTTCTTTCTATCCAAACTTGCAAAGAATGTGCATTAATTTCACTTTATTATATTTTTAACATTCTTATTTCTTATCTATTATTGAATTGTCCACATAAAATTAGACATCTCTGCTATACCAAGTACTCCCTAATTAGGAGGATGTTTAATCAGGCTATCAAGATGCCAGGCCAAAGGAAAAGCTGTAAATCCATCTTTGCTTTATTCCAATGCCAAAGGATGGTATAGAGCACTAGAGAGAGAGAGGAGGTAAAGGTGTGCTGTTTGTGGCACCTCAACCCTATGTTCCTGTGTTGTGACAGAAAGTGGTAGAGTATTTTCATGTCCTAGTTACTGTGCTTTGTGCTTCATCCACCAAGAACATAAATCTTTTTTCTGCCTTTATGAAAATCAAATTGATTTCTGCCGGTGAAAATACAGTTTTCATTGCTGATGAATTGAGAGGCACGTGTGCTGCTCTGATCCCTTCCCCATTCTGCTTGAAATCTGGAGTTAAGCAGACAATCTGCCAGAGGGGTGATTTCTGCCATATTTATATGTATTTTTCATAGATACCTTTTCACTCAAAAAGAGCAAAAAGCATTTACATGGGTGTGCTAGCTGTGGGCAAATGCATAAAGAAAACCTAAGCTTAAATTATGTCAAGATTACAGCAAGAAAGCAATAGCTCTGAATATTCTGATTAAGGCTGACAACCCATTCTCAGCTCCTACAATTGTATTAAAATGAAATTTTAATGCCAGAAGGCATAATGTGAAGATTTACATTTTACAAGGGGTTTAAAGCTTGATATTTTTTTTACTAGTTTATTATTATTTATGTCTTGTTTTTCCTATGTAATATTCATCTACAATTAGGTCTGCTATTAAAAAAGGTACTGTAGAGGGAGAATAGAGTGTGCGAGTCTGTAAGGGTTGCACTGAAAAAGTAGCATTAGTATGTGTTTAATAATGTATGGAGGCTGGAATTGTTCCATCATCAGCCTGTCATTCAAAATGTTTCCGATACAGCCATTGATCTGACATCTCTATCGTGGTTTAATAACGTTGTGATTGATGCCTGAGTGGATATAACACAAAAGCCTTTAGAAATGTAAAAACTGAGCAGTTTGATCACTGCTTTCAGTCATTGCTGCTCAGCACTTCCAGGCTTGGCCATCAGCAGCAATAATCTGCCTCTATGCTGGGAAGAAGATTTGCTTATTCTTTCTCATCTGCATGTCATTTCTGAAGGAAGTTTGCTGTTCTACACTTTCTTTGTTGGGGTTTTCCTCCCCTCCCTGCTGTTAGCATCCATTTCAGATACTGTTTGGGTTCCAGTTTCATTCAATAGTTTGAGGCAGCCTTTGTTAGTCCTCACAGGCAGAGGGGTAACTCCAGCTTTTTCTCCCTCTCCTTTGGAATTGCCTTACTATAGCCTTGTTTCATCTTAAACCTTTGAGGCCCACACCAGTGGGAGAGTAAGTAGAAGTCAGGTTTTTTTACTAAAACTGGTAGTTCAGCTGGGCTGCTTAATTGTTCTTCACACTTGAAGTTCACTTTCAGTTTCTGATTTAGAAACTTGATAGGCATCTTACAAAATAAACCCTCTATTGCACTTTTTAAACAACAAAAAAAAACAAACCAACAAACAAAAAACAGGCCAAAACAAAACCAAAAAATTGTTTAATTGTTCTGGATACTATGTATTAAAAATGCAGTCAGGTGAAAGAATTACAATGAGATAATGTGAGATCCTGTTGTAACTGCAAACTGCCCTAACTCAGCTTTCCTGGTTTATAGTATCACCGAAATTTCTCAGTGGAATAGCAGCCTTGTTATGCAGGTACATCAGTCTTATCTTTCACTTTGTTAGTTCTTTTTGTTGCCAGCAAGGCTTGATGATATCTCCAGAACCCTTCAATGGAACAACAAGCTTGTTATAGGTTTTTTATCTTTTATTTCCTTTGGATACTCCATGGTCACTGGTGGTTTAA